GAAGAAGAAGAAGAAGAAGAAGAAGAAGAAGAAGAAGAAGAAGAAGAGAAAAGAATTTTGTTTCTTTTTAACCTTCCCTAAATGAGCTTGCAAAGTAGATGCATCCCCAGCTACTTAGAAAGTAGAAGCAAGAAGATGGCTTGAGACTAAGAGCTCAAAGCCAACCTGGGCAACACAAACTTTGTCTCAAAATAGTAATAACCCTTTAAGGGTAAACAAAATGAATGCATTTCTTGATATAATTAAAGCTTGTTATATATTTTAAGCAGAGTAAATAACACACACATACATAGTTATATATTTAAGAAACTTATATACTTATATATTTAAGAAACAATGGGCAGAAAAAGCACTTTCTTTTCATACACAGTTAAGAAAACCAAAGAACTGGGAGGTCCCAATACGAGTCAGAAGCAAGCTTTAACTGGTACTGAGCATCTGTCTTCCAAATAGACTTCTGCCTTTTGCTGACCATGAGCAGGAGAACAAGATCACTGCCAACCTGGTCTACATTTTAAGGTCTAGCCAGGGCTACACCAGGAGAAACTGCAGAGAGGTAGGGGATCTACCTTTTACTTCACATAATTAAATATAGTACAGCAAAGCTATCTTTCTCCTTTTGGTTAAGTCTATCCAGAAGCCATTTATACAAAAGGCGGAAAACAAGGACTGAAAAGTGAGACAAACTTCCTTTCAAATCTGATCCCTGTCACTAGCCACATGACCTTGAGCAAATTATTAACTGACCAGGGCTTCAATTTTCTCATCTCAAATACTATCTTCTTAAATCAACTTAACGTCGAATTGCCACCCAAAAACATGGCAAATATTCAGTAAATGTGATTTATCCCGCAGTAAGAGCTGTAAGCCAGTGCAAGCCAGTGCTCCTAGTACAAAGTACACAGCACTAGCATTACAAAAGACCAAATTTTTATGTCTTCCCAGATCTACTCTGCAGCGTGGAGCTCGATTCTTATCTCTTCCGTAATTCTGGCTGACGAAGTTGGAGAGATGATGCCATACCAAGTCTAATAACGTAGCTTAGCTTACTCCCCTCATTTTCCAGAAGAGTGAAAATCCAAAGACAATCAGTGACTTGCTGGAAGTCATTCACCAGTCCTGTGATACATTCATTTCACCTTGTGTCTCTCCGTCTTGATCCCCAAACTACATTAGTACTATCAAGATCCTCAACCTAGGGCCACCGAGATGGCTCAGCAGCTACAAGCTACTTGCCATACAAGCCAGACAACCTGCGCTCAATCTCCAGATCCCACAGAGGAAGGAGAAAGCTAACTATCGAAAGTTGTCTTCTGACCTCTACCCCACAGGCTGTGGCGCATGCTTATCAACACACATAACACTCACAATAAATAATAAAGTTTTTAAGTTTTTTTCCAATCTAGAGCAACCCTAAAAAGGTCAAAGAAATGCAAAACTGTGATTTCAGAGAATGTGAGAAGGACAGCTTCAGGAAAAACCATCGGATATTTATGTTACACATCCTCTGATCTTTACTGCAAAGGTACTCTGGAAAAAGTCACCACCAAATACTTGAGTTTCTTTTCAGAAAGAGTTAAAACTTCATAATGACAAATCACAGAAGAAATAACACCAGCCATCTTTTTTCTACCAGCTTCACACATGGACTGGCGGCGATCACTTACCTGTCTGTGTCTCTAATCTCAACACTTTGAGCAATCCATCCTCACCACCACAAGCTATGAACCCTTGGTCCTTGTTCCAGGATATGCATTTCAGCTTCACATTGTTGGGAACAGCAATCTGTAACAAGAATCGTAGTTGCTAGTTGCTTTTCACGATGGAGTTGGGAAGGTCACCAACCAGGCGATGTAGACAGATGAATCTCTTCTAAGAAGAAACCTGCACATACCTGTTGTGGCCCATGCTGGCAATCCCAACACTTGGGAGACCGAGGCAGGAGAGTCTCAAGTTGGTTGCCAGCCTGGGCTACCCAGTAACACCTTGGCTCAAAAAGGGAGGATGAAAGGAGAGAGAGAGAGAGAGAGAGAGAGAGAGAGAGAGAGAGAGAGAGAGAGAGAGAGAGAGAGA